CTTACTAGTAACAAGAAGCTATTTAACAAAAATGATTTTTTGATTTAGATTCCCACAACAACCACAGTGAACTTCTGACAGCCCAAAACGACCAGCTCTACTGTCTCGACGGCGGAGCCACAAGAGCCGCCTCTACTAACTGTCCACCGCACAGTCGTCCACCGAGGCAATGCTTGTAACTTCGCACACTCAACAGACGTTCAAGAGCGACCTGATTTGGTGTCGTGACCGGGAAAAGGGTGGTCGCTGCAATTGAATTAACCTTCCTTCAGCCAACGGTTCAATTTGAATGTCTTCAGGCGATCTTATCTGGTCAACTAGCATCAAACAGTAGTTTATAAACTCGTAACCTTTTGGTTGACTATTTGATTCACCTGGAAGGCCAGTCATTGGTTCGGCAGATCCATCAGCGTACGGCTGACGGTGCGTTTTTTTTCCACCATTGACAGAAAACAGGTGCTGGGCACAAATTTGTAACACACCATAAGCATCCGTAAGCATCCCATGATAGAGGATGACAGATGTTTTGCATCATTGTTCCAGATCTCCCCTCAACCCAGTGGATTTGCTCACGAAGGACCTCTTGGCCGTTTAGGTGTCGACAGAACTATGCTACCAGTTCATGTCCAAGGGTCATTGCCGAAGGGGAGCCGCTTGCACTTTTGCTCACGGGAGAAACCACCTACGAGTCCTGGATGCTGATGGCAAGGGCACCAAGTTGCCCATGGAAGAGATGAAGCTCGCTGCGGCCCAACCAGATGCGGGCATGTCCGAACCTTGCAAGAAAGGAGTGATTCCAGTGGTTCCCCTCGACATGTTCTAACGGACTCATTGGAGAAACGGACTTAGACAGAGCATTTGGTCGATGAACTTCCTTCGGGGTGCGAACTCTCCTGCATTGAAGTGGCTGAAACAATGGGCCCGGCCACCTGCAAACTCCAGTTGCTTCGTTGCATTGCAGAGCAACCATCTAAATACCGCAATCATCCTCCATTCATTGGATGGTTAATTCCCCACCTGTCAGGTGAAGGTCTTTAGATGTTTTTAGATTTTATGTCAGCTGCCTTCCTCCTTCTCCTTCTCCTTCTTCTCCTCCGCCTGCTCCTACAGCTTCGGCTGGCAGTGTTCCCCCCCAGACTTCAACTGCGAGTTCCACTTGGCAGTGTTCCCCGCCGGACCTCAACCGCAAGTGCCAGATCACAGTGGACACTACCGGACCTCAACAAATAACACGCAACCGCACAACATGACCACAACACACAAGCACAATCACAAATAAACAGCCACAACCACAACCACAAACACACAATCACACAGTCAGAAACACACAGCCACAAACAGACAACCAACTGGAGACCCTGGCGACAGGGTAGCACTTTTGGATGCCAACTGGAGACCGAACTCCTTGAAAGCATTAGCAATCCCAAACCCGAGGACCCACAAGCAAAATCCAAAACCACAAAGCCCACGACCATGGCAACATGCTCCTCATAATGCATGAAAGCAAATCATTGACATGTCATGGTCTGTGTTCCAGATTAGATCATTCACCCGAAGCGTTCGGAGGTTCTGGAAAACACTCCAAAGCACTAACGTGACTTCGAAGGCCTAAGTGGATCCAAAAGTGAGCTCAGATGGGCCAGATGGGCGCACTTCACTTCTCCCTTCAAACAGGTTGTCCATCGCGACCTCCACCCCTTCCAAAAGCCGTGACCTGGCCCATCCCGATTCTTCGCGGCGCCGTCCGAGCGACCCCCCCCGCGTCGACCTGCTCAGGACGTGACCTCGCTGGTTTTGCGTCTGGAGACCTCCCTGCAGCTTAGCTTTCGACCACCTCCGGGTTTGCCAGCGCCGACCTCAGGGCAGGACGAGGGAGAGGCCGAGGCCAAGAAGTCGAACCGCGGGACCTTGGTGCAGTCGCTTGGGCAGAAAGAACGACATGGCGTTGTGAAGGTGAGGTGGAGTGAGGATGGCTTGTAGACTGCCAGGATGTCAAACAAAGAGTAGTGAAGAGTCTGCAAGACCTGACTGGGCTGACTGGGGGGTTTGCCCAAATGCTCCTTTGTGCGGGTGGGTGGGAGACAAATCTCTTAAAATGCACGGAGTGATTTTTGCCTTTTACCTCTTTGGTTGGGCCAAAGGCAGTTCTGTTTCGCTAGTTGTCACTGTGTTGGCTCAAAGGCGCGGATCTGGCCGATCCTGTTCGGGGAGAAACCTGGAGACAAGTCAAAAGGGTCTAAATATAACTCTCAGATCATGTGCAACATTGTGCAACATGTATTTCAGAATGGACTGCACCAGTGAAGGAACCATCACATTTAAAATCAAACATCATTTCTCAGGAAGCCAATCGACCTCTGGAATGTACCAAACGACACGATCTGAACTTGCAGGATTGGGGACTTCATGTATCTTCACCTTCAATCGGCCAGGAGCAACCAGTTGTAAGTACAACACATAGTACAACTGTTTTGTGTGTCGGGAGGCTGACCGGCCGGCGGAGTCCTGAGGTTGTCAGCAAGTCCTCGCGGTTTTCTTGGCACCCATCAGCCGAGCAAGAAGTGTGAAGGTCCGTCTGATACAGCTCCCGGCCAGATCTTCTGGTTGTAATTCATGTCTTTAACTGGAGGTACCCTCTGGGGGTACTGGGGGGAGGCTTTTGGGAGAAATGGCCCACTGCACCACTACTTTACTGCTGTTGGATTGTTCTTCCACCTCTTCCTGCGACCTGCCACCTCAATGCGTTTTAAGCACCCCGCGAAGTTTCGAGAGGTCCGGTTGTGTAGACATCGCTGAAAATGGAAGGCAGCCGCACATGGCAGCCGCACATGGCAGCCGTGGAGCATGTTGCTGGCCTTTTTTGATTCACCTATATAGATTCTCCTAGATTCCTAGATATTCGACCGATCCTAGGACCTATTTAGTTAGTCATGACTCATGACCTGATCAATTGCTTCCATCCCAGAAACCTGTGCTCAAGGAGATCGAGCCCTTGGAATCCCAACATCCACTTCTTTTCTACTTCTAAGAGCGATGGCCTCCAACCTACTAGCTATGGTCTCCAACATAAGAGCGATGGCCTATGATCCTTCTGGTGAAAAAGCAGATCACTTTTCAGCGCTCGTCTTTGGGCCCGGAGCTCCGGGAATTTCAACGCTTCGCCTTTACGGGTGTGAACTTGGCAGGACATCGCGCAGATAGGGAGCCGGTTGAAAGACCGCATTTGCTGCGTGGGCTTTGGGTGGACCATGGGATTTGTGATTGGTTTGCATTGTGCTTTGGGATTTGATACCTGGGTAGCAGGTGGCCTTCGCAGGTAGCAGGTGTTTTGCATCACTGAAACGTGCACAGTGCTGCGTTGCCCACCGGTTGAGACCATTTCGCACCCAAGCTGCGGCTCCGAGTTCCAGCGACCGTGTCCGTACTCCCCGATCGTGGGGCGTGTGGGTACTCCATTTCTCAATCGCCAGGAGCCCCGTTCGTAGCTTCTTGCTCCTAGTATATCTGGAGATATCTCCGACCTTTGTGGTAGGAGTTCCATGTTTGCTCTTGACCAGAATGTCAAGACTTTTCGCGAACAGTACAGTGATTGTGCTTGCAGTTTCAGCGACATGAGTGAAGCAATGACCAACCTTTTTACAAGTATATTGGTATGGTGCCAGAATCAAGGCCAGGTCGGACATCCAGCAATTGCACTGATATGACTACTATTGCAATGCATCACCCAGGATCCTGTATGAACAGAACGGATTTGTTTTCACCTCTTTGGATGGCTAGCAAACGAGCAGATATTCGCCAGGTTATATTGAAACATAGAGCATATACAACGAGCAAACTACACATGTGCAGATAGTGCAGGACCAGAAGCGCTTCAGAGACGTATCAAACTCATGTTGCGGAGGAAGCTGCACAGTGAGAGCCTTTGGGCTGTCTTCCAGTTGTCCGTTTGCGAGTTTGAAGAGAGTCCAAAAGCTCCTCAAGGGGGCGACTGGACCCTCAGACAATGTTTGGTTTTGTATACCTGCATGAGTGAACTGACTTGGACCCTGAGCATGGACAGTGAGTGGGAACACCATCCACACCTGATAGACCCCTCGAAAGCACTCTGTACAGGCTCAGACGATGAACGGGAGTTCGTGGCGAGAAAGTTCGCAGTCAGTCGGATCAGATCAAAGATCCCTGGGAGCATGGTACTCAGGCAAGATATCGCCGTGAGACCAGTCTCCTTGCGTTGTCGAGCCGCGACTCGTCGACGTTGAAAGACCTGCAGATGAGTTGCCGGTGCAGATGAGTGGTCCTAACTCCAATAAACATGGAAGTGGACCACCCCCCTGTTTGTAGAGAATAATGGGCTTCCAGGGGCCATGCCATCCACTTCCATGACTCTTGGAGTGAGGGTAGATGGCTTCAGCATATATGGCAGAAGGGATTGCTTATCGTCGCACCCGGTCGCACCTTGCTTGAACCAAACCCTTCAGAAAGACAAGCTCAAAGTGAGAAGTGTTATGAGACTCTGAGGATTTGTGAGCTGTGTGAGACTTCTCAGCCATGTCAGAGACCCCTTCCTCTGGTTAGGCACCCAAGATTCTTTTCCCACCAAGCAGTACCAAGGGTGTACTCGGCTAGGTGTTTGTCCACACTGACCAGAGATGGGTTCTGCACTGCCCAAAATCAGGAGCATCTCACCATTTGTGTATAATATATTATTACATATTTACACATATGTTCATTTAGCTTGACTGTCGGGAAAACGAACGGTCCACTTTGTCAAAGGAAAACAGTCTCTCAGGAAACGCAAGACAATTATCGCCACATCTCCTCCGTACCACTTGCACCAAAGACATGCTGCTGGAATTTAGCGGCTTTCGAGGGTTAAGTGCAGCCACCACTGCTGCAGGTGTTTGACTGAATACCCCTCTGCACCAGCGCTTTTAAACCCGCAATGACATCGTGTAGTGCAGTAGTCGCTTCGGTTCAGCCACTCCCGAACCTCTCCCGAGGCCCTTAATGCTGGCGGCCCAATGTGGACATGTCGATGTAACTTGGTACCGCTTGCCGCGACTGGCAGGATGGAAGAGCCAATAGCATCCAATAGTTTCCATAGCTAATTTGTAGTTTATAAGTTAATTCAGTTTCTCTAAAGATCTAGGAACCAAATCATTAGTGCCAGCGCTTCTTAAGGAAGCTTTCCCCGCCGCCTTTAGGGCGGCGGGGGGGAGCTTCCTTGAAGAAGCATGAGCTATCCTGCGTCCTAAGTAGTAGTAGCTATTTAAGCTACTAGCTTTTCCCTTACTAGCAACCTCTAGCTACTAGCTACCTCTTCTCGGTCTAACCCCCTCCCCAAATAAATGGTAGACCTTCTTTTGCGTTCTGGATCCTTTTTCTCGGGGATGCTCTGAACCGGTGTTCTTCATCACGCTTTGGTGGTCACTCTCCTGATCGCCACGGGCCACGGGCGGGGACCCGCTGTCCTACCACGGTCCTGTCCGATGGACACGGCGGTGAGAAGGGATTTCCATCGGCGATCGGGCCCTTCATTGGCCGTTTGAAGGGCGATTGTGGCACAACTCAGAGGGCAAACGAGGGCCACAACTCAGTCAGAGGGCAGTTGTGGCTTGGTTCAGTTGTGGATTTGTAGCCTGATCATGTCCTTTGAAGTGGGTCGGGTAGGCTTTGCGATAGCATGCCATCTTGACATTTGCCCCAAAACAACCCTGCTCTGGTGTTGCTTTGAAGTGGAAACATTGTACTAATTTTGGAAACAGGAAACATTCTGAAAAAAGGACGTGCTGAAAGACACCCTGGCATGAAGGCCTTTAAAGTCTAGAGAGGAGTTAAATTCAGAGCTCTCCAAGTCGACGAAGACTGGACCTTTTGGTGGGGCGGAAGAACTAGGACTGATATAAACAGACGTGTCACGATCTTCAGCATCTCCAAGATATGTCCATTCATTCAAATTGGGATCATTTCGTTGGCTATGCTCAGTTGCTTTACCAAGGGTGGATTATTACTTATTTTTCTTGTAGTGGAGCTCACGCGTCACAACCACCAACGTCAGGTCATGGAGGAGCTTTTGCGGAACGGTGCCAAGGTGGGCGCAAGAACGCAGCTGAGGGAAGATACGTCTGGGACCCCCCAGTTTGACTTCGGGAAATGACTGGAAACACAATCCGAATCCACAGCAGGCTTGCTTTAGGTCACCTGAAGGGAATGAACATGAGTGAACATTCATCCCAAAGTTGTTGAGAATGACAACTAAGGTGTAATATTTGTTATTGTGGGGTATGTCAATTGCCGCACATGTCCTTTGAGTTCAAGTAAACAAACATAGGCCAACACCAGACTCATTTTCAATGAGGTTGCAAACAGGAGTGATGGCGACTCCCACGTCAACTCAGATCGATCACAAGATTTACGTGGTAGGAAACACATGCCTTGGAAAAGCGCGAGACCTTCCTCTCTTCAAGACTTAGTGAATACTAGGAGCAAGGACGCTACTAGTAGCTCCTGGCATTACTACTAGTAACAAGAAGCTAATAGGAACAAAGGGCATCGCTACTAGGAGCAAGGACACACTAGTAGCTCCAGTGAATAGCATTTGGTGAAACTGATGTCATCTTGCACCAATCATCCGAAATGTTATCCAACCTACCAGAGTCGGTGGATATTCACAGGTTGCTCATAGATTCTAGAATCCCTTGTTCCTAGTAGAAATGCCCTTTGTTCCTAGTAGCGAACCTTGTTACTACTAGTAAGGCACCTGTTCCT